TCTTCACTTTAATTTACTTTTTTTTGTGTCATTTTTAAACATCGGGGAGGGGGCAGTTTCTTGACTTGATGTACAATCAGTAACATTTTCCAAATTGCAAATAAGATTGGAAATATGAATTTCAAACCTTCAGTTTAAACACTAGCATTTACACTTGATTGCCTTTGCTTTTACAGAAAATGCACAGCAATAAATTTTTGGTTTAGCAGTAACCGTATAGTTTCGACTCTTTTTTTTTTTTTAATAGTGGTAAATTAATTCGGGTTCAAATTCCAACGAATAACCTAGATGTTTGGGTATCTTTGATGGTTTTATTTTCATGGTTTTATGGTTAGTATTATTTTCATGAATACATTCAAGTTTCCCTTAGAAACATGAACACAAACAAGTTTCCCTTAGAAAGCCCTCCAAAGGATATCCTTACTGCTTTGCCACGTTCGATTAAATAAACAATCAACTTATACACTGATCATTAAAATTAAGGGTTAATGAGAAGAATTATGCTCACTGAGTTAATGTTGCAACCAATGACCAGTGCTGTAATTGTTTATGTTAATTGAATACAATTGAACGCAAAATTGGTAATTGAGAATGTGGTGCGCAATGGACGCATGTTGGAATTCCGGTCTGTAGTGTTGTTTAAAGTGAATGTAGTTTCTGAGAGTGATCAGTATTTAGTAGTTATGGCTCAAAAGCATCATTTAAGTGAAGGTCAAAAGTGGCGAATCATTGGTAGAGTCCCGGGAGGTCAAACACAAATGGAGGTCGCCCAAGTTTTGAGTACCCCTCAAACTGTCATATCAATAGTTTGGAGACATTTTTTTTAAACACTGGATCAGTTGATAGATAGTCTGTTCAAGGGCGGCGGAGAGTAACAACGGTATCAGAAGACCGATTTATATCGTTGTCGGCTCGAAGAAATTGCGAAGCAACCGCATGAGATTTGGTTTTAAACCTTGAGGCTGCCACAGGAACTTTAATTAGCCATTCTACTGCTGCATGAAGGTTTAACAAGGTTGGACTGCATGCGAGAAACGAATTGGTTTGTGTCCCACTCGCTCCATTTTCCAGAGGGTCCCGTTTAAACAGGGGCGTCTTCATGATCAATGGAGTCAAGAGAACCGAGCCCAAATATTGCTCACTGATGAGCCCAAATGCAGTTTAAACAATGATTTTAGAAGTGTTTTGATCTGATGAGTGAAAGAAACACGCAAATTGTCTACCTTTGTCCCTGAAATATCCCGTTTCCGCGAGAGGAATTATGACAAATATCCGCACCGAGCTGTATGTCTTTCAAGGAAGTTCTGTAACCGCTCGGAGATCTGTGAACGAGGTATGGGAACTCCAGTTTAGACTGTTTGGGGGTGCTGTTGGCCCAGAACCTTTGCTAATTGATGATAATATTAGCTTCTCGAGCAAATGTGATGTCAGAATGCTTGCAAACTGAAGACATCACTCGAATGGGTTGGCCACCTTACTCATACAACTTTAAACCTGACTGAGTATGTGTGGGATGCCTTAGGATCGGAATTTCAGAACACCAAAAATTCTCCCTGGACCCTCCAGGCCCTAAGAAGTACACTTTTAGAAAAGTGGCATGAAATTCCTCAAGACTTGACGAACACTTTGGTAAAGTCTATGAAATCAAGATGTAAGGTATGTATATCTGTCCGAGGTGACTATACACCATACTAAAGAAAGATACTTTTCTACAAGAGATGACTTAGTTTTCCCGTCATTTTCCAATTTACATAAATTTCATTAATTTGCTAATAATCAACCGCCAAACATAGTAATTTATCTTAAATAATGCTTTTGCACAAATTTCGATTGATAATTTTTCATTAAACATTACTTATGTTTCATTTCTCTCATTATCCTTTAATTTTGATGACCAGTGTACTTTTGCTTAATCTGTACTTATTTTTATCCTAAATATTTCCTGAAGGAGCAGTTCGCTTTCAGTAAATATTTCTTTAACTATTTATTGCAATATACTTTGTATTTAATAAAGGCCTAATTTATAGTAATACCATTACTAGAAATTTCATTTAACACAATATTAAAAACAGTACCATTTTTCTGTCAGCAACTGTCATCTTCAGAGACTTCTTAATAATATTAAGCTTATTTATTTTTACCTGACGCTATGGAAAACAGTTCGAGCAAGTACATCACTTGTAAAAAAATAATGTGTTTTTACTGTATGTTGAAGATATTGGTTATATATTTAACAAAGGCCTATTCATCCTATCTCAACTTTTTGACAAATGCGAACCATCTAAGACAAAACTGAAAACCTAAGTACCACCACTACAAAGTACTACCACTCTTGAACAAAGCTCAGATAGCATAAATTTATAAGTGTTAGAGAAAAAACTCAGTTAGGATGCCGGGGTTTCAACTTTTGAATTTAATAGTTAAAAATGCTTTGCTTCTTTCCGTACCACCTATTTTTCTCTTGCGTACCACCAGTTGAGAACCCCTGGTCTATTACATAGTTAATATCAGTACTGCAAGTTGGAGTTCATTCAGTTATTGTGCAGGATGGTTTCGGATAGAAAATAAATCCATTTTTCTGCTGACAGCTGTCACTTTTAAACACTGCCTTTTAATAATATACTATGTTCTTTTTTTCTACCTGAAGCTATGAAAACTAGTTCGGACAGGAGTATCCACTTGTTAAAAATAATCTGTTTGAACTATTTATTGAGAAAGGCAGACAAGGTGCATCCGCCTGTAAAATATAATTATGCAATATAACCTCGGACAGAAAATAATTCCATTTTTCTGTTGGCAAGTGTCGTCTTCGGACACATTGTTTTTAATAATTTTACGCTTGTTTAGTTCTATCTGAAACTGTGAAATCTACTTCCAGCAGGTATATCCATTTGTGAAAAATGATCTGTTTTAATTATTAAATGAAAATATGGGTTATAGTATTTAATAAAATCTTATTTGATAGTTAATACTATCACACTGCAAGTTGAACTTCACTCAATAATTATGCAGCAGGATCTCGGAGAGAATATAAGGCTTTTTTTTTTCTTTTTTTTTTTTTTCTTTTCTTTTTTCATTTAACGGCTGCACGTTTAAGATCGCTAATATTATTAGTTTAACACTGGTTTAAATTTCGGCGGACAAGTTGGCTGGATAGGTCTTTTCGTGGTTTTACCTACCGTAATATTAATACCGAACATTTTCCTTTGGAAAGTCCTTAAGTATCTCTCTCCTTTAGCAGATAGCCTTTGTGCGCTTTACCGTAATCAAAATATCCTAACCTCCTGCTAGAGCAATCATCTACGAACACTTAACTAAATTATGCTTGTTTATTTTTACCTGAAGGTCTGGAAAATAGATTGCAGATGCAATCATTTGTAGGTAAATAATGTTTTTTTAACTATTTATTTAAAAGGTTAACTATTTATTTAAAATACGTTAGGTAATGCGTAGATAGTTATATTCCATTTATTTTTCCATTCAATCAAATCAAAGATCAAAGATAGTTCCAAATAGAGGAAGAAAACAAATAAAAGAAAATCATCGGATTAGTCTCTGCAATCAATGCAGAATTATTCAAAAATTTCTATTACTAAGCTCTGAAGGATAAAAAGTATTTTCTTATCATACAGTGTATTTTAAACAGTGTAAGTTATATTATACAGTTTGACAATTAAGTTAAAATATGTGGCACGCTATTTTAAATTCTAAGCACGTATTGCTACACAATAAAACAAAAATAAATAATTAATCAATTTTGCAGGGGCAAAAACCTGAAAAAAAGAATATTGTGATTTAACATAGGTAATATACGTATGTATGACAGTCTACTGACAGGCTTTCTTTGCTCCGTAATGAACTGTACGACCTTCTGCTTGTTTTCATCGTATTGTTCTCCAGTCAAGCTTCTCATTTACTAATGCTGATATAATTACTTCAGGGCGCGATGTTAAGTCATTAATAAAAATATAGCTTCATACGCTCTTTTAATACAATTTCACGAGCCATGTAACTTTTCTTTTCCCATCACATTCAAAAATTCGGGAAAATAAGAAAAACATTTTTCTCTTGCATTTGCCTGAAACTGAAATATATTTTCAGCTACAGTCCACTGAGGATTTCATTTTCTAGCCTATCCAAATTATAAGGTATTTCTCCCACTTTCTTAGCATGCCTACGTGGTGGGGTAATCTGCACGCTGGGCGCATATTTCAGAGGTTCTTGGTTCGATTCCCGGCGAGGACGTCTCTCACTTTTTCATCACTACTGCCTCCAAAAAATACCTAATGTCTCTACAGTGTGATTATCAAACCTACTCGCACGATAAGTTTTCTTGAAATGTATTATGAGCAATTTGAAAACTACTAAAAATCACATAACGTTTTAATTTTTGCTTCGATAAAGGAGCAATTACCTTCCCTTCAGACTTTTCTTCGGCGAATTCTCTAGATTTTGAAATGTTCTCCATACGAAAATGAAGAGACCAAAGGTTAGCAGCAAACTTCTTTATTAAGACTGTAAAACTGAGCATACCTCATTACATTTCATTATAATTTGCAATATAAGAGCTATAAGATATTTTTTGCCGATTACATTTTGTTACATTAAATATTAAATTCTTAAATTGATATTTCTTTCAAATAATTCTAACTTGTTTGATTAATCATTAAGTAACTTACTTTAATTTAAAAAAATTCTGATACTAACTGGGTGAGAAACTAAAATTTTTGATGCTGCCATTTCATTGATATGTTGAAAAGTAGTTATGATCGATTAAGCTAATTAGTAAAACTTAATACTTTAGTAAAATCGTAAGTATAAAATTAGCAAAAAAATTATGCCAAAATTAAATTAAGAACATTAATCTATTTATTACTGTTGCTACCATATAGTTAATTAAAAATGAAGGAATAGAATCAATCCTGAAATTTTAATTAACTATTCGGTTTGCATTGTACCAATCAAACTGAAGAAATAAGAAATATTTAAGCGAAAAAAAATCTAGTGTCTAAAATAAAATTAAATAGGATTAGATTCATCTGCAAATAAAGTCAAATCTATTAAAAAATACTGCACGTATGCTTTTGCTTCAGAAATATTGTTGATTAGAGAGATAATGCAGGTGGGCATTAGTTGGTGGTAGCAGGTGGGCATAAATAATGTTTAAAAAATGCTAAATTTTCCCCGTCAAAAACATAGAATATATAGTATTCATTTTTGGTAGAACAACAACAGAAATTATTCATAACGTCAGCAAAATCCAAGTCAATCAAGTTGTCAGCAAGCTGAAAAAGAAAAAGAAACATTGGTAGCAAAAAGATGGAGAAATTAGATGAAATAGTTCGAAATTAACGAAATAATATTTCGCTAAGTTTTTTGTCCCTTTGAATAGAGCACTTGTTCATTACTTAAAATTATTTTTAATTTCAAATTCTGAGACAAATTTATTTGAATTAAAAATTAACACGAATGATGATACATATGCCTACATAAATGAGACACATTTCGTCATAACTTGCTGTATATACGGTAGTCTTTAGTTATATGAAACACTTTAAACACTTTAATTGTTCCAAAGGCTAAATGCAAAAGAACTCAATGAATCAATTATAAATTAAGATGATTAAACAAATAAATGATTTATCAATATAAATCAAGATTACAAAAAAGTAATTGAAGTGTTAATGTAGGACTTTTGGACGTAAACGTTTAGTCCTTACTAATTAAACGAAGTTTTAACTCACACATATTTGTTGTGTTTAAAGAAGTTAAAATTTCACTATAGCAACAGCATTTAACTTATTTAAAGCAATTTTGTGCAAGTACTGAAAAAACTTAATTAGAAAAAATGCATATTTTGATGATCTGGCAGGTTGTTATTATAAACGTAATATAAAAAGAAAACTCTGTTATTGCCATTTTATCATTTGGCTTCTTTACACATCAAGAACTATCGAAGTAAATAAAAGTTTGCTTTAAATAATTAAATTTGTAAGCTAAAGAGTTTAAAGAATAAGTATTCAGTATATTCAAAAGATTTTACTCAATTTTGTAATGTTAACAGCTGTATACGTAGTTAATACTTAAAAAGTTAATTAAATCACAAGTGCAGCAGACCTAATTAATCTTAATTAATTAAAGACAATAGCAAGTTTTTCTGTTAAAGACATTGCATTCCAAACTGAAGTAAAGCAGATTAAAAATTACACTTTCCTTAACTGCCATGAGAGAAAGGACAGATTTCGCTATTTTTATCTTCTTCAAATGAATGCTATATTCCGGCAGATGAATTTTTCAAGATATCAGTAAATGAATTTATTAAAAGAAATGGTTGGGAAATAAACTTAGAATTTATATACCTAATAATGAATTCATTAAATTTTAGCACTCGATCGTATTCGAACTGTGTTTGCTCGTTTCATATTTTTTTTTTTTTTAAACTGAAAGTGTATATTGACTACCTAAAGTGTCTATTATATAAGTAAGACTACAATACTTTGATGATCTTGCGTCCCTGCAGAGAGCTTCTCTTTATTTATATCCTAGTGTGTACTAATTAAATTAATACATTTATTAACATTCAAACTTTTCTGCTAAGTATATTAAAATAGCGACTTTAAGAAGAAAAGTAAGTCGTGGTTATCAAAGTTAGGGATCATACGTTACACGATACATAAGAATTTTATTCATAGTATAACGACATAATGTAATATAACATACAACTGTATTGCATTTATTATTAATCTTCAATGTTTAGGAACCAGAAAATTTATTGACTTTGAGCTTAGATAAGTTAAATTTTATTCTGAAATCTAGTCTTTATTTAATATAGTAAGAAAAAATATTAAATATTTAAACGAAACTGAAGAAAGAAAAAACATTTTAATAGCGAAACACGAAAAAGACGAAGACTTTTCCTTTTTCGGAAAAAAAAAAAAAAAAACCCAAAGTAAGTAACAAAGAAAAGTAAGCAAAACAACATTAATTGGAAGGGGGAATAAATGAGACACGTTTAAAGACTGCGTTTTGAAAGTGACCTTTATAAAATTTCGCGAATTTTTAGATTAAATAATAAATAAGTAATCGCATTTTAAGAGCGAAAAGAATATAACAAGTTCGATTTACGAATAAAAATTAGTTTTTATGTCAGAATTGAGTTTTTACTGAATTATACAATTCCGAATTTTATTCAAATTCGTTTTGCTCAACGAACATCAAAGACAACCAGATTTAATAATTTTTTTTAATTATACATAATAATCTGAGTAAGTTAATGCTTTTATTTAAAAATATTTCTTACTTCTTGAAGTCTAGTATGCCAAACGTTGTTCATAGTTCACAGTCTCGCTATTAATATTAAGCAAAAAATTTAAAGAATTATTTTCTGTTAAATATGTATAATATGTATAATATGATTTTAACCCATCGGGACGTTATAAATATAGTGCAATAGTTAAGTAGGTAAGATAGCTGAACAGTGGTACTTCAAATTGCGATTCAGATATTAGTAAATGAGATAACTGCATGGAGTTTTCGTAATTTTCTGAAAATATAATGTAAACACCAGTTATCAGAGTTTCCCATTGAGAGCCCTCCCAACGAAAGCTGCGCTTCCTTAAGCAAATATTAACTCTCGTGTGCTTTACTTTAATTTTAAGAGTTGTTGCCTTTCTTTACATATATCTTGTATAAAAGTAGTCATATAGTCAATTTCTGGACGCACCTTTCAGTTTATAGCAGTATTATTTATAAAAACGAAACTCATTGATTGAAAATGTAAGAAAAAATTCTAAGTATTCGGAATTGTTTCTTAAGTCTCTTACGTCTAATCTGAAATTGCCTCTTAAGTCTTCTTTCGAATTTTGTTCTTTTTTTCCACTTTTTTTTATTTATTTTTTATTTTATTTTTTTATTGAAAAAATTAATCCATCTCATAACACTAATGCCGCATATGTTTGCATAACAGATCCAAATAGAAACAAATCGAAATTTTTATTAAATCAGTAGCAATAAAGAAATACTATGTTAAAAAACTTAATTCATTCACAATCTAATGTCTATAGAACGAGCTTCTGTTTTCTAAAGCTTGCTTCTGTCTTGGTAGTATGCCATTCGCCGCCGCCTTTCTCTGCATAAACGCATCACTTTTATGTAAAATATAAAGAGAATCCGTCAATATCATTGACTGCCTGTTGGTAGAGGAAATGATCACTAAAAAATTCATTAACATCATCATGTACTACATCATTACTGCAACTAAACTGCTTTAATTACTAATATATACGTGTTGTAAGTACTTTCTAAATTTATCCATCAGAATTTAGATCACTGAACGATGGTAGATCTCAGTACGACGAACTGTGATGCCCCAGAATAAACCTTATCCCAAAGGAGCCTTGACGATTTTATTCCTGATTTAGTTCAAATCAGAAACAGCTTTTGACTATCATTCCTAAATTAGCCTTCGTTTTACAACCCCTCATATGAATGTAAAAGAAGGCTGAATTTATGACACTTTACTCTCCCTTCCACTTTACCTTCAAAGTAATAATGTCATTAGCTTATCTTCGCTTTTCTTAAAGACCGATTGCTATTATCTGTCTTCCGTATTTGTTAGCTTATCGCATTATACTGTAATGGTTAGGTTTGAAGTTTATTTAACAGGAACTTAGAAAACTGTGATATATTGAAACTCAGAATGGCCGAAAAACCCTAGTTTATGATGACAGATTTTAAGTTGGAACATGCATGTAAAAGGGGAAATAAGGACTGAGTTTGCCGATCAACAATTGCACTAGATGTATTCTAATGAATCATCGACCAGAAAAGTCACGTATGCACAAAAGATAAAGCGAAAACTGAAGTACAGAAAAGCAAAATGATGTATTACAGTTTGACCTGTTAGATGTTGAGAAGAATTAAGAGCCATTTCGGCAATATAGCGAAAAATGGAAATGATGGAAACCGGTAAAATGAAGTTAAAAGTTTCCACTAAAATAACACACAACAAAATTAAAACCAAAATATTCATGCAATATTGTTTTCGTATACTATAATCCTATCCCAACAAGATAATCACGATAAAAATAAGTTTTTTCCCGTTGAAAGAACTGACGTTACATTCTGTATTTATGCAAGGGGTGTAACAGACTGTGTTACATCGGGTTCAGGTCGGGAATAAAATTACTGAATCCTCCATTCTAATGCTCAGATGGGAATTCAAACTGTTAGGTCTATTCTTGGAACAGGCTCATTCAGCACTAAGCCACCGCGAACAGACTGACTGGATTTTCGTAATTTTCTTCTGTAAAATGGATAGGAATATGAGACATTTTCCCATAGAAACTTCTTCAGGATGGCAATTCTATTACGTGTACATTACCATACTCGATCAACACACCAGCATTTAGAGTTTTAACTTTATTTTATCTTTTCATGTTTTAAATTAAAATAGTTGCTTATGTTAAAAAAAAAATCTGCCTCGAATGCTTGTTTTTTAATAGTTTATTTAAATGTCAGTGACGAATAGTTTCAAAATGTTGCTTTTAGTATTACATATTGAATTTAATTAATAAATCTATAGAGTCATTAGGTTTTTCTGAAACAAGATACATGAAAAAATGTGCGATACCCTCGCAGGGACTCGAACTCTGAACCTCTCGTACACGCATCTAGTATGTTTTCAATCACACCACGAAAACGTGAAAAAAGAAGGGAGAAAATACTTTATCAATTTGATAAACATTCAATGCAATTAAAATACAAAAGGCGCTTCTGACATGGAGTACTCTCTTACTAATATAAACACTGCTTGCATATGTAAATAGCTAATATTTAAGAGGATTTGTTTTGTCGAAACCTCTATACTTTGGAAATATGTATAGCTAATTTTTAAAAATCTAAGTTATGTGTAAAATTCAGACTTATTTTTAAAAATAATTCTACGAACCTAAAATGCATTTGTTGACATGTAAGCTGTCACAAACAATGGCACATTTCACCATTCTTCAAGAAATCAATAAAAATAAACATAAACAAAGTGAAGATTTCAAAAACTTCCATTTCAACAACTTTAGCTTCAAAATAACCAATGAATTTTCCTTAACCACTGCTTAGATCCAGCCTTTAAAAACAAAACCTTAAAACGAATCCCGGTAAAGAATTCTTTTTTATAACACCAACCCTATCATGTAGTTTATTACTTCTGAACCGAAGTAAGCGCCTCTTTAACCGTAAAAACACACGTTCTCCATTAGTACTTTCAGGTTGCAAGTATATGAATCAA